TTAAGAAAAATTCGTGCATCTGAAACCAGACTAGTCTGTGCAGTACGCTGATTGGCTTAAAAATAACTCGCGCCACTTTGTCATACTATCCTGTCTATCTGAATTAAAACCAAAACCAATCGTGACTCGCTTACACGCTTCCAGTGGCGCTTCGCTTCAGCTACATGTATTTGGTTCGGGTTTTGATTGGTTCAATGGATTGTCTGTGTTGTTTGTGATTGGCACGAGAGATTACCTTGGTTTTGGTTTTACGACACTCATTTGAAATCTGCTCACGGACATTGCATTTGACTAAATGTAATCTCCTCCATTATGACGAGACGAGTGCGTCTTGGTGTCTGAATATAAACCTTGGAGTATAACGTTTGCTTATGTACAATTCATGGGTTAAACTGACTTACCGCTTGTTCTTTCTCACAGGCAAAGACTGTACAAGTCAAAGTCATGCCCCAATGTGTCTTACACGAACTCAGTATACAGTCAACGGCGACAAGTACATGTAAGCTTAACTAAAAACTATATTTTTTTATGCATTTTTTTCTTCATCAAATACAGTGTGACTTCATTCTATTATCCAGAAAAGATGTTATTCCTCCACACAGTTAGTTTTATTGGGAATTTAGCTTCGCTAAGTCATATACTTCATTTTTGGTTTAACGTAGAGTTGCCAGGGGCCTGTTTCTCGCAGGGCCCGAAATGTTTTCGCACCCGGAAAGCCGTAGCAAAATCTCAAACCTTATGACTTCACATATTCACGTATTTTTAATATGAACAGAGGTTCTCTTCATAAAAGAAGTTTCAGGCGTATACACCTCCCTGTTTTTAGATACAGAATAATTAAAAAATAGCTTTCCGGGGCTTTCGAGAAACGCGCCCCAGGTCTTAACCAAGATTAGTCTAAGTTAGTCTGAGTTAGTTTCTTTAGTTCTAGTTATAGCGAGGTACTTCAGGCGCATGTTCTATAGCACAATGAGTTCATCACACGTGAAGGAAAGAAAAAAAAAATGCGAGGGACTGTTCTTGATCTTTCAACGGTATGGCACATTCTATGCACTGAATAAATATTTAACGTGCGAGAACGTCCTTATTTAGTAGTTGTTGTTTATTTCACCTTAGCACCGTACTAAAACTGAGCAGTATCACAGCTCGTCATGGTGTTCGGATTCATTACCAGAGAATGCCCAATGTCTTGTTCAGTGGTTTGAACAGCAGTGGAGTGGTAAGAACCTTTCAGTAATTACGAATTTATTGATCGGTTGATCAGTTCCTGACAGTTCGGACAGCTGCCTCATGCTATATTATGGATGGGCTTGAACTTTGGCGCTCCATTGACAATAAAAAAAATTGCCGCGGGAAATCGAAAAGTGCAATCAATTATCCAACGCTACGAAGTACTTTTTCTGAGACAAAAATACCGAGCTGGAACAAAAAACAGTGTAACGTTCATTGTCCTTCATAGATTTTGGGACTGATTCAAAATGGCTGCTTGTCTGCACGTTACACGGATATTTAGTTAGTAATTTGTGCTAAGAAGTCTTAGAAGGAAAGAAATCAAACACAGAAATAAACCCTACAAGTAAAATAAGTATACGTCCTATATCGTTTAAACTCACATTAGTTTTACTGTTTAATCATTTCTTCCTGTAGGTTGGCAAAAGAACGAATTTCTTCAGTTGTTCTTACGAGTCCTTGCACCAAGTGAACTCTACTTTCTTTCTGGACTTCTTGCTGTAAGTTACTAACGAGAACTTCAACCTTCGTTGTTTCCTTCTCTCGTCTCGCTGCGTTTTTTTAAAAGAGCATGTTTCTTTTGTTTCAGGTTAAACAGTATCGAGATTTTATCGCCATGCTCCCAGAGCAGTTGGCGATTCGCATTTTTTCGTTCCTGGTTCCTAAAGAACTCCTTGTTGTATGTCAGGTAAGGAGAAAATTAAATTCAAGCGACACTGTTTGTTGACATTGTTGTTGTTGTTGTTGTACAGACTAATTTTTTATATCACTTTTCCAGGCACTCAAGTAACTAAAGATTTCATATGCTATGACAAGGGCAACGTCTTTTTACGTTCTTAAACCTTCCTTTTACATTTTCGTTTTTAGGTCAGTAAAACATGGCGCCTTCTTGCATCAAAGGATGAACTATGGAAAGCAAAATGTCAAGAAACATATGTTGGTAAGTATGTAACTTCTTTTCAAAGGATAATTTCCTTCTTGTTCTTCTCTACTAGACGGGTCATCAGAATGTGTGAACAATGTCTTACGGTGTACGTGGATGTCAACTGAAAAAATGAATTTTTTTTATTTGTCTCCATCACGTCCCAGGTGTGCCACTCAGTACGCCAGCAGTGTGGAAAGAGATCTTCAGAGATAATGTTAACCTAAAACATAATTGGGCAAAAGGCCGCTTCAAAGTGACCGACATGGTTGGCCACACCCACAAGTAAGTGTTAGTTTTTTTTTGTTTCTTGGGCAAGAGTGCACCGGACTCGATAACCTCCGTTTCATGATATGTGTACGCTTATGCTCTTTGCTTTAGTAGTCTACAGCGCATATAAGGATGTCCCTGCCTGTACGATGTATAAATGAGGTCTGGGCAGATTTAGCCTCGTCTTTCCTGCTTCACTATAGCCATTCTGAAGTAAAGCAACCTCACGCATGGGCACAGTTTTCGATTCAAATCTCGACAATATTAGCAACAAAAATAGTAAATGCTTGGTAAAGCTGAGTTGTTTCATACAACCGCACACGTGTTTCACTTAGCACAGCTTAGTAAGATCAAGTGGTACGAAATGTTCTGCTAGCTAGGAGATCCGGGTGCTGAATGTCAGTGGACTCGGTTTTAAATGGATAAGCCTTAACATATGACGGAAGCGTCTCCATTTTCATGACGTAAAATAAATACATAAAATAAGCAACTGAATTAACTCTCTGTTAGTGGGCAACGAATTGTGTGACTGATTAGTCGATAATTACGGTCAGCTAAGCCTAGACATGATTTTCTAAATACTTGAGTAACTTTGTCGTTTTACTGTTCTCTGGCAGTGTACTTTCTGTCTGTGCTTACAAGAACTACATAGCTACTGGTAGCCTGGACAGAACAATAAAGTAAGTGAATCGATAACGCACACTGTTTCCATGCATGAGTTTCCTGCTGACCTCACTTCCTACAAAATTCCATAGTTTGCGCTAATTGCGCCATCTCTGATAATTTTTAGTCTGTACCAAATTGGCGTATATGTTCGCAGTCCCAGTGCCGTGTGGAGGATACACTTTCTTTAGTTAAGACTGAATGCTTCATTTTTCTACAGAATCTGGGGCGCCAATAGTGGAGCATTACTTCAGACGTTCCAGGGACACACGGTACAGATGATGTTGCACCATATAGTTTACATCATAGGGAAGCATCTTGCTTATTCAACTATGTAGAAGAAAGATAACTGGGCACTTTTTCATGTTTCAGAACCAATCAGAACATGTTTTGTCAAGTGCGATGATAATGGAATCGCATTTACGTTTGCATTTGTTGGCCACGTTGAAGGGCCTTGCGTGTCTCAATTAAGTCAATAAAATTAATCGTATCTCTGATCCGGATCACTCTCACTGAATCGTATTACACATCACTGGAGTTTATTTTTGTACTATTGCTCTTCTGTAGCTTCACTGAAACAAAATGTTACCAAACGCCCTATAGACTGTTTACATGTTACTCGCTTATGACGGATTTTGTGCCATTTGTTTGCAGCGCGGTGTTTGGAGTTTGCGTTTCCTTTCAAGTTCCATTGTAATAAGTGGATCGTATGACAAAACTATCAGGGTAAGTATTCCGAGTTCTAGATATCCGTCCTGAAAATAAGTTTGTCCAGAAGTTGCTCATTGTTCACAGGGCGCATTGACAGGCCACTGATAATTATCGTTAGGAAAGCAAACCTTTAATATGATGAGAGCCGAGCTGGTTGTTAACCGCACCTTTTTTGGCATTTAAAGTCTTGATGACCACACCACAAACACTGTAGTCTATTTGATGTCACTAAGAACCCGGCGACGTTTCGTCAATTTTCTGCTGTTCTTCGTCCGGCAATGGGTTCTACTGGTTTGTGCATAACCATATTTTTAGTACTATGGTTTGTGTAAAAGCCATGAGGATCGAAGTCCTTTTACTCAGTCTCCAATAACCGTACTGCTGCAATAGTGATACAGATGCAACCAGTCGTCCCTGATCACCTGCTTGTCACAACGAATTCAAGAAGTCGTAAGAGCACAGAGGCTGATAATCTCACGATCACTATTAACGACTATTCTTCCAAAAATGCCTGCATATAAACATGAACGTAAGGAACGTAGAAGAATACCCAGTTCTCTGTGTAACAGAATTAGGCGAAACAAAATCGAGCGAAACAAATCTGTAAGATAACGTTCTTTTTGCGTGCGATGAGATGAACAAAAGATGAAATGTCTGTCTCATAATTCTTTGCTTTGTTTTCGATTTTAGCTCTGGAGTCTTCGAACAAGTATGTGCGTAAGGTAAGAAACTTAAATATTACAGATGTACACTAATTGTAATGCGTTTACCATCACAGACAAATTTCGAAGGTCTTAAAACTGGTACATGTAGATAACGTAAACGACCTTAACTTAAAGTGAAGCCATCAACTATAGAATTTTATTATCTAGTAATACAGGTTACGGTCTGTTCCAGTTCTTGGGATTGACTGTGCTTGGTAGAAGTCATTTCGGAATCACTTCAGGCAAAACACTCCTTTCCCACTGCCTCTCTCACCCAGGGGTGTCAAGAGGTATGGCGATATTTTGGGACAATTTGACAAAACAAGTACTTCTCCTTGCCACGCCATGCAGAAATCAAGTGGTAGTCACTGCAGCCCATTGAAAAGAAGGAACACTTAACTGCTGAATTTCTATTTGTAGAATATTGATAAGTCACGAAGGTCCCGTATGGGCAATCGAACGTAAAGGAGATTTCCTTGTGAGCGGATCTAGCGACAAAACGGTCAGTAAATGTTCTTTTGCTCTAATTTTGTTTGTTTCGCTAAACACCGTCAATGCAGAGTCAAGCTAAATAAATTACTATTTTCATAATCGCTGGGGCAATACCAAAACGTTGTCTACGGAATGATTTAAGGCTATCGAGTTTCCTCTTGGAATCCTTCCTCCCTTATCCTTTCATGATTTGTTTTGACGCTTTAAGCCGGCTTTCGTCAAGAAGCAAGCTTTCGTACTTATAAGGTCTTGACAGATCCAGGCATTGAATTGAACGGGTGTTCTTGTGATTGCTGTTGTTGTTGCTTCTTGTTCTGATTACAACAGAAATTTCTCTTGCAGGCTAAAGTATGGAACATTCGTCAGTGTAAGCTTCTCTTCTCGCTGGTCGGTCACAATGGTTGTGTTTTCTGCGTTGATTTGGACGACGAGTGTAAAAAAGCGTTTACTGGGTCAGGAGACAGAGTAAGTAAAATTGCACATGTGCTGATATAGGAGTGATAGCTGATGTTCATGCCGGAAAATAAATTTCCCTTGCTGGTTTGTCTCTAGCTATAATGCGGGATTGAAAATGAACATTGACACAACGAGGCGATGGTACTTGATTTTCTTGGATGAAAACGCCATGAAAATATAACGACAGGAACCAACAACAACCAACCATTTTATTTTGCCAGATTTATAAAAAGAATTAACAGCATAAAAAAATTAACTTAATTAGGCACAAAACTACTCAGAATAGTAAGAAAACCAAACAAGCTGATTCGATAGAAAATCTTACATAAACTGGCAAATGGCAGAAAAAAAGCGACAGAGGTATCCGCCAGATGCATATTGATGCCAAAACAATTAGAGACGCTCATATAGTTTCCTTTATAGCAACTTTGTTGACCAAAATTCGAAATATTTGAAATGTTCCAAACCAAAAGGACTATGCCGAACACCAACAATTGCTTGGTGACTCGCGAGGTGAAAGTGATTAGCACACTTGTAATTCTCTCTGGTAAGACATCTTGAGAACAAAACTACATCGCCCTAATTTTAAAAAGGGATCTTGCATGTAAACTGGTAAAATGCGCATAGGTGATGCGCAGTTTAAAATTTGATCGACGTGTAAGGTTGAAACTGAGAGAATAAAAATGTTAAACTGTGTAGTTTTGTATCTTAAACAGGTTACCTTAGTTGGTGAAAGCCACTGTTTGAGTGTTGATTGAATGACTTATTTCTCGCAGACTGTACGAGTGTGGGAAGTATCTTCGGGAGTTTGTCTATCGTCTTTCAATATCGGACAGTTGTCCCCCTCTACAGTAACCGCTGTCAGCTCTGATCAGGTAACTGGTGGATCGAAAGCCAAGTAGCTTTTTCTACCCTCACATAGCATGATGGTCAATCATTAGCTGCAGGAGTCGTGTTTTAGAAGAACGGATCCTGGAGAATTGTTTTACAGTCGATCCTTTGTAGTTGGCCCACTGCTCGCAGTCTTGGTTCACATATAAGACACCTCTTTTTTCGGGCGTATCTTTTACAGAACATTCGTACTGTATGTACATATCGAGCACATAAAGTTAACGAGTGGATTAAACCAATTACATAGGCCTTTGTCAGGTTTTTAAGAAATATGACGGTTTGATCAATACTTTGTTTGCTTATTCTTCTCATAGGGCCATCTGGCGGTGGGGTCAGGACAGTTAGTCTCGTTATGGAACCTCGAAACGGGGGCTTTTGTGAATGAGTTCAAAGGACACAAAGGAAGGTACTTCATATGCAGATAGGTTTGAAAGTTGTCTTGCAAAAAAAAGATCTGTCATAGTTGTGTATTGCTCAGATACAGTCTTCTAAAAATCAAAGCCTTTGAAGAATGGCGTTAAAAAGAACTTTGGCTTTTACTGACAGGTTTATTACGATGACCCATTAAAGAATCTAGAACTGCTTTTGATATCAGTTAATGCAACGTACGTTGATGCAAGCACCAGTATTGACACACAGATCATCACCTGACTTATCTTTTAGGATTGAATCTATTAAACTAAAATTCATGATGGTGAATGGAAAAAAAGAGGCTGGCCTTATAGTGAGCGCTGGTAAAGACGGCCTTATAAAATACTGGGACATTGAGCAGTAAGTATCAAAATATCACATACAAACATTCTTCGCACTATCAAGCCGAAAACAGGGTAGGTTCCTCCGCCATACAGTTACAATGATGCCAGGTGAAAGGTGACCTGACATTTGTCCGCAAGCCACGAGAAGAACTGACTTTTCTTTTGTGTCAGGAAACATTGCTAAGTTACAGGATGGGTAATAGAGAGAATGTTTAAGAAGCCCGGTAAACATCGAAGACGCAAACAAACACAGACTCGTACCCAGTCGCTGTTTACGGGTCAAATTGGATTGTTTCAAAGAGAAAGCGATCTGGATCAAGTGGAGCGCGCGGGGAGTTGATGCCTGCTCTAATCCACCCTAGTATCCAATCTTCTCTCCCCAAAAAGACGCGTAAATAGCTACCGGGTACGAGTCTGAAACAAACAGGCTAAGATTTACATTGGAGGGTCCTTGATCCTGCAAATCGTTTGTTTTATGCTCATTGACTATACATGAACTACATAAGCGCAATGCTTCTATTGATTTGTTGTTTGAGCACACATAGCCACCTTTTGTATTTTGCCAGGTTTTGTGCAGGGTCAACCTCCAAAATAGCCAACAAAAATATACAAAAAAGACCTTTGTCAGGTTTCATAAGCACTTCCCTTTATTAACTATGTCTATGGTAACAGCATCGACTGACTGGCTGTCCAGATTTGTTTGTTTGTTTGATTGATTGATTGATTGATTGACTGATTGATTGATTGACTGATTTGTATTTGTTCCTCACCCAGGGGCTCATGTATTCAGACTCTAAGAGGACACAAGGATAATGTCAACTGCATCCATGTTGATTCCACCAGAATAATCAGTGTTTCCTATGATCACAGAGTGCGGGTCTGGGATTTTAACTCTATCTAAATTTTGCATTATAAACGAACTTCGACTAGCTATCGGAGCAATAGTGCTTAAACAGATTGAAGAAACTTAGGCCCCGTCCACATTACGCCGGAGAAATTTAAAAACGCAACAATCAGTGGTCATTTTGGATTTTTGTTTGAGGAAAACTCGGACAGAGAAATCACATGATCATCGTGACGTTATCGTTTACGAGAAGCTCCTTTTTCAAAACGTTTTCCGTCTACACTAACACGGCCTGTTCCAGGCTCTCGGTAGTTGGGGACGAGCGAGAAAAAAAGGGCGAGCGAGAGAAACAACGAGGGCCTGGAACATGCTACACTAACAAGCAAAGCTGGCGTTTTTAAATTCCTCCGTCTTAAACAGGGTTCTCGAAAAGCTCCGTTTTCGTAAAGAGTTAGGGTGGATGGGAGCTAGGCCTTGCCGTGAAAATAAAGCTGCGTTTTCAAATTTATTCTGCCTCGCAGTGAACGTGGCCTTACATCAAATGTCACCGTCTTATTAATAGGAGATTTTAAAACATGTCCAGTGTGACAATGGATTCAGTGCAATAGTCTTTACTGAGCTTTTGGCCCAGGGGACAGATGGCGAAAGGTTTAAGGTTGAATCCACTTGTCGTCGCAGAGTGTAAATCACCCGTGTTATGTTGGTTACATTTGAGTGCAACTAGAATTTTTGACAGACCCACTTTTTGTCTGAAATTGTTTTACAACAAAAGATCAATTTATTTTATCTGTAAATAGGATATTTAATTTGTAACAACTTTAGACAGTAGATCTGCAAAAAAAATTATGACTTTGCATGTAGTAACAAGTTTGTATTTATAAGAGAAGAAAGTGCTCACGGAAGATTTCACTATTTGATATTTTAAAAATTTGTGAAATTATTTCATTTTATTGTCACCTCCTTGTTATGAACACCTTAGTCATTGTAACGGAGCCTCCTAATGCGGACACCCTGTATTGAGACACCTTAGTACGGACACCTCTCTGTTACTAACACCTTGCAACGGATAACTCTCTTCGTACCCTCTTCTGTACTTCAGTGGAACCCCCGCCTTACGATCACCCCGTTAACACGACCTCCTCGTTATTACGGCCACTTTATTCTAGCCCCCCAAAAAGTTCAGTCAGTCATTTTCTCATTTAAAGAACCCCTTTAATACGACCACCCCGTTAATGCGACCAATTTTCCATGGCCCGAAGGTGGTCGTATTAACGGGGTTTTACTGTATACCTAAAACAGGCTGGATCGAGCTCTCTGATATTAAGTCACTGCGCGAAGACGGCACAATAAAATGCTCCGCGTATCCATGACGCTGGCTCAAGGACCTGAATTGAAGCGAGATGGCCGTGAGCGATGTTAGGCGAGGTGAACGTGTTGCGTGACACGTACTGTGTACACATACGTAACCAATCGCTCAATCGTTAGTCCCTCGTGACAGACGCTTTCGTTTCGCAGTGGTAGACGAATCATTTCCAATATCTTACGGCGCCAGACAACACTTTTGCATAAAATTCGCCACTATAACATCATATAAAGTTGATTGTATTGGATAAAGGGAGTAGGAACAGTCTAGGATTGATCGACTGTTCTGTTGACTCCTACTATGGAAAAGTCTATGGGGTAGAAGAAAATCATCTACATGTTGTGACTACGCAAGAGGAGATATAGCTTTGATTTACGAGGAAACACAGAAAAATCCGGAAGGAATTAATCATCAAACAGCATACAATGAAACCTAAAACTGAAGATGGAAATCGGATGGTTTTTAACCAGCGAAATGGATTAATTTCGACGATGTCGAGAATCTTTGTCGGGGTCTTCCTTGCTACTCTATTCATCCTCAAAGATTTGTCCGGTGTTATTGTCTTGGGAATTGCACGGCTTTTTAAGGAGTCCTTACGATGGCTTATAAAAATAACTGTCAAACTTGCCGAAGAATTAACAGTCACTTTAACACGAGTAATTCTCCGTGGTGTTGAAGAATTATTGATCATCGTAATTGGCATCATCGTACAAGTGTTAGACAGTGGAAGCCACGTAATCATTCGAGGATTGCGTCAGATGGTTAGTCTACTTTGTTATTTAGTCGTGGTGATCGTGTTTTCCCTCGGCTACGCTGCTCTTCGAATAATCTCCATCTTTTCTCCAGGGAGATAAAGTTCTGAAAAGGTTACAAAATCGTATAATATGCTAATATGATCAGTGGTGCAGATATGCTGATAGTGACAAACACATGTAATGCAACTTCTCTTTCTCCGTAGTAATCCTATTCGCAGGCCGACATAATTTCCTTAACAATAACTGGATTTATTTAATTTTCGTTTGAAACAAAAAAAAAATGTGTAATAATGAAGCATAAATGAGCACTCGACGCTCGATTACTTACTTCTTGGACTGATTGCGTTTGCGTGAGTAACAGGATTTCATAATTAACATATCTGCATTGTCACGCAATCAACGCATGATTGTTTCCGTTTATCGACATGGGTTTCATGTGTGTTACAACTGTCGCTGGAGCTTCATGGCTCTCAACCAAAATGCAGAGGAGACCTTTGGAAACTACAAGAGCAACAAGAGTTACCCAAGTCTGGGTTTCGTATTAATTTGAACTGATTTGAAGCAAAGATGAGTCTCTGTATTGGTACATTCAGATTTCGATTTTGTCCCGCTTTTTTGAATACATCAGAACGGTCGATAAACAATCGAACATGAATGCGAATGCCGGCAATTCGCAGAATATTTGCTAAATTACTGGAACCTTTATCTTCATACTCATCCTAAAGCGTGAGGACAAACCAGCGAACATTTGAAAGCTCCGGCGTGTGTCATCTTAAAGAAACGAACATCTACAGCGAAATTGACATGGCGCCAAAGAAAGCGAAAGAAACTGACACATCTCTTGCTCGTTTCATATTCCGAAACTTTATCCATGAACTAGGTCGTCTGGTTCTATATGTTATCTGCAATTTCTACCTATTCTTGGTGTGTTATACGGGGGAAGGAATATACACAGTACTTCAAGTATTCTTTGGACTGATTCGCGAGGTCTTGAAAATTCTGCTCGTGTTGGCAGCTCGAATAGTGTCGGAGATCAGTTTTGGGACAGCTCTCATTATAGAAAAGATCGTTGGTGCAATTTTACATTTGCTTCTTCTATTAGTTGTAAAAGCAGGAAGTTTAATCAACCAAGCAACGCGAGAACTTGTTGAACTGGCGGGATATGGTGTTTCATCCGCTGTCTTCATTACCATAACCGTGTTTATTCTATGGTTTCTCGTTCCTATGCTTGAGGAAGCTGGTCACGCAATCCTGCGCTTATATACTGTAACGTGACAGGACGTGGAGTAATAATGTAATAACGTGAAGAGGGTTCTTTTTAGTTTTGAAAACAAATATAATTCATGACCTCCATGTGTGCATTCTCAAGGTCTAGCAGTAACAGTAGCGGTTGTTGTCGTGAGGTTTTTTTCCGTTTGTTTTGCCCACATGGATATGCTGTATGCAATCTGGGCGATGATGTTGAACTCAACCAATGGAGGACTTTTTTCCTTAGTCTCGAGAGAGTTATGCCAAGACGCAGTAAAATGCTAGTAAAAACTGATCCTGCAGGTTGTTAAAACTCTAACACTAGTGTTAGAGACAGGCATCTTTTTTCAACCCATCAGGAGCCAAAGTGCTTTACATTACTAGTCGGAGAAAAAGCAAAAAAAGATCAATTTTGTTGGTATACGTAAATACAAACATTACGCCTTTGGGACAAAATAGTTAAAGAAAACCGGTGGGCCAGAATTACAACGAAATAAGCTTTGCATGGGAATTATTTCAGGCTTTGAGTAACAGTACCACCAATTTCGTCACTGCAATATGTTGAATATTATTCTAATTTAATCTATATGTCTTTCGAAATGTAGTTTGAAACCAAAATGCGGGAGCTGGTATGCAAATAATACGATGCGCTAAAATGACCTCCATAATACTATGGGACAAGAAGAAAAGAGATATGTTATGACAGAAACTATAAATAAATTGTTGTCGTGGAATACTTAGATACTTTCATCTCATAAAAAGAATAGCAAAATGGCTGATTATCAAGGATAGTTATTTCTACATGGAGTCAGTAAAATATTAGTTTGCAGTTTATTAAAAGATTTCAAGATACCTTAACTTATATAAAGGGAATGCAGATTATTCAGTCTCTATCCAACAAAACTAACTTATTCTCACCAATTTTCGTGCGTTCTAAATTTCGCAAATTTCGCGTTTTGGAAAAAGTCGCAAAAATTATTACTCGCGAAAAAAAAAGAGAGCGCGAAAATTAACAAGCGAAATTTAACAACAGATTATGTCGGAAAACAAAACATGCACGGATTTTAAAAGTTCTGAGTCACGGTCTTGTTGGTACATGTAACTGTTCAATTTCTGTCCTTGAAAATATAGTCTTTGGGTCTTGTATTCAACTATTTAGCACTCTTTCTTCGATTCACTGTGATCTTCAGCTTGTAATTCTGCCAAAATATATTTAGTAAAGTCATCAAATTTTCCATTTGTGGGCACCTGGTAGTGAAACGGGGTCCACAGATCAAGATTTGGGAGATTAAAGCAATGGGGAAACCGCGAAATTAAATCTACTTGTTTACAGTTTTTTTTCCCCTGGAATCGCGAAATGTAATACTCGCGAGACTCCGCTTCCGAATTTTCGCGAAATTAAGTACCTGCGAAAATTAGTAAGAATAAGTATTATATTTAAAAAAAAAATACAAATTATTTAGTTATATCTGGTTACATCTAAGTACGCTTGTTTTGTACAAGTTTAAATTTCCACATAGAAATACATTGTGGTCTTTTCCCCTTTTTTTAACAGTGTTTGGGTAACTAAAATATCGTATCTTTTATTTTCTACCTGTTAACCAACACCAGAGTATGTCCAGCTCATTAACACGGCTGTTTAAAAGTAAGCTCATTGTAGGATATTTTTTCTATCTTAAACAACGACAAAGCAATCAGCATTTCAACAGTGCTGTCAGTTGACTTTCTATGCCAACGTGATTTCATTGGATGAAATTAAGAAAAAAAAAAAAACATTCAACGCCCAGTACTTTTAAATTTGGGAATGGACATGGAACCCTAAATTTGTTTTAAATAAAAGTGCGGAGTCCATGTCACAAGCCGGCGACTTCTTAATGGACCATATTCGTATTCCCGGTATTGGACTGGAACTAGCTTGCAACTGAGGCTAACGCGGGGAGTCTTGTCAAATACAAATGACATTTTTCTCTTTTTAATGATATTTCCCCACATGAGACTCCATTGCAAGTTAGTTCCAGTTCAATACCGAGAAAACGAATACGACCTATTTTGCCGCACATAAAATCCTACCCCTTACGCCTTGGATATGAGAAATCGGAAAAGCTAGCCATCAAAAATATGTGCCGTGTCAGTTGACAATCCGGTTACACATAGTAGTCGAACCTCTCTACAGCGCCCACCATGGGGACAGAGGAAAGTGGCCTGTATAGAGAGGTAACAGTTATAAGGAGGTGAGGGTGTAATATGATACTTGAATTTTTTCGGGGGTGCAACATACTTATCTTTACAAAATGCCTATTGTAGCATGTAAATATGTAAAACAATCAAAACATATTGATGAAACAGGACCCAGACAGAAACTGAGACCAACGATGAGCAGTGTGGATCCATTTTCGTCACCTTAGCTTTTACAACAAAAAAATGGGGTTTTGCCTACACTGTTCGTCAGTCGTTGATTAACTGGCCGTTGTGGAGAGGTTACTTTGGCACTTGAGGCACGCTTTAGTGGTCGTTGCCGTTGTGGAGAGGTGGCCCCTAGTGGAGGTTCGACTGTATCTTTTGTGGTCAACTGCATTGCTGTTAATACTCTAATAACGATGCAAGCTAATTAACGCTTTAAAATAGATATCTGTTATCATAATAACGAGAAGCGGCTCCCGCAACATGTGTCAGCCAATTCAACGATGAGGCTACTCATTAGCTTTCTTTATAATCGGATCTCACTGATTATCTCCTCCTCTCAAGTAAACACCTCTTGCATCAGTAAACAATTGCACTGTGAATCATAGTAGACTGTGTTTCGCTCAAGATTTGGAAAAGTAACAGAACAAGGGCATCTTTAACCAGATAAAAATAAGTGATCTATTAAGGTTCTACGACATTTGTTCGCCCTGTACGATATTTTCCCACCGCACAGTGTAGATACCAAAGTATATTCCCAGAAAGATAGTGTACGAAAGAGGAAAGAAGATCCTGGAGTACTTATCCAAGTAGCAGATTTCCTCTTCGCCTTCTTCAATAGTCTTTCTAATCATCTGAATCATGGAGGGCCTTCTATGAAGCTTTTTCAGCTGCGCGCGGTTTGGCGGCTTCCGTTTAGTCTTTGGCATATTGCTCCGCGGATCTACAATTCTGACGTTTCTTCCGCCACCATTATGCGTGTTGCAGTTGGCCTCCGAATTATCCTCCGTTTTTATTCTACCGTTTTTAAAGTCGTATGTTTTACTACCAACTGACACTGTAACACACACCTAAGAAAGCGATTGATAAAAGTTCAGATTAGTTCCGCTCTCACCTCTACACGCTATAGCCGTCACGTGATGATCTCTCCAACAACACCAAAGTGATTATTCCTCAATTCGTAACGTTCAGTACGATCAAACCCTTCAAGATATAACGCTTATGTTTTGAAGTATAACCGTGCAGAAAGTGGTCGAAAAGGGGAATTCGACATGCAAGTTTTCTGTTGCGTCTATTTCCTGGTGAAAAACTCGGCGGTTTTTTATCCAGTGTTTTACCCAACGACAAACCATTTGCTATGGAAATTTAACTCAATTTCATCTGAACAGTTTTACATTTTTTTTTTTAGGACTAGCTTAGATGCCAAGCAAAACCAGGCGATAAATGGCTCATAATTGACTTAAGATAAGGCCATAAAAAGATTTACTGGTTTATAACCAGCAAGCTAGGTGTGCAGTTCCAATTTTATATTCGTCATCTTAAACAGACAGTGCTCTTGTATTGGCACAATACGTAGCTTCTGATATGAGTTAGTGACAAAGCGTGAGCTCAAGATGGCTGGATATTGGCCAAGTTCTTTTAGCCAATATCTAGACATCTTGACTGAACAAGCTTATATGAAAAAAGGACACTACTTTCTTGCGGGACACAGCTGGCAATCCCGAGCGGGCAAGATAGCGCCATCTCGCCTACTCGCGTAGCCAATCACAGCGTAGGACTCGATTCATCTTGCCCATTCATGGAGCTACCAGATAATAACTTACCTTCTCGTCCTCTGATTCGGGGAACAGTAACTCAGCCTCGCGCTGCCGATCTCGCGCAATCGTTTCTTTATTTTTCTCATTCTTCTTTTTCTTTTCCTTTCTAGTCTGTTTCAAGACTAACACGTACTCAATCAGCGTCATGAACACGAATACAAAGGAACCCAACAAAAAATAATCCACAGACTTGAGATAAGATACGCGAGGCACGCTGTCATTCATTGAGCCCCGCATGAAGCTGATGGTTAGTACCGTGGCTATCCCCAGTCCAACGCGATCAGATCCGTCCGTCTCGTCAATCCAGAAACTCACCCACGACAGAATGACAACGCAGATACATGGAATGTACATTTGGAAGATATAGTACATTGTTCGACGCCTGAAACGTATCGTGGCTGTAAGACCAGCAAATGTCTCTGATGAATAAGAGGAGAAATGCTAGTTCAAAAACGTGGTATAACTTACAAATGTAATTGTTCTTCTTCGTATGTGTGCAGTAAGGTTCCAAATGTAAGGCCCGACCCATTTCCCAATAACTCTACCCCCGCCTCTTCACACCTCTTTCCGCTAACAAAAAAATTGTAATAATAATTCCGTTTATAAGCCTTCCCGCCACCAAAGAACATTGTTCTTTAAATAGAAATAGACAATGAATACATCTTTCAGCCAATTAATGCTCGGCAGACCTAAACGCCTAACCAGATTGGCTCTGACAATCTACTCACCAGAATGATAAACACTGTGTTTCCCAGCTCTTCTTGCTGTTAAAATATCAAACTGTGCCATTTCATTGTCATAAATGTAAATGTCGGTTCCTATTGCTTGCTTCCAAGTCAGATTTAGATCCGTGTTTTCGAACGAAACTAGAAAAGTAATCATGTTAAAAAAAAAAAAAATTGTATAGTATTTTTAGGATCTCGGTGGACTAAACATGACGTAAAATGAAATAGATGACCACGAAAGGCCTAAATACCAACTTAATTAAGTGTTGAGCATGTAGGTCGCTTTCAAGCAGCCGTCAATTGCCAGTTTCAAAACAATGGCTTTTCTTAAGAGAGACATTTTTCAGGTAGTACTGAGGAGTTATAATGAATACAGAAAATGTGTTGATTGTGTGTGATCTTTGCGTCAATGTAAACTTTAACAACTTACAGCTTTCAAAGGCCAGGTGACAAATCTGATCATCCAAAGGATAATCTCTCAGGTCCACCCTACAAGAACTTCGAGCGGTATATCTGTGAAAGGCGAGAATAGGTCGATGAGGAAAAACAAGCCAACTTTTTGTATCTTACTTCAAATTTGTCCTCGAGACTGGGTTTTCTAGGGAGATCAAATTATGCTTAAAGATGATTTCCAGTCCGTACTGCGCACTCTCGGGAGTTTGTTTACGTTTTTCTGTTTTGAATTGAATAATGCAGCATGTTGCAGCTACTTACATGAGGTAAATTCAAAGTTTCGTGTCAACTGCCATCATGATTACGAAGTAATATATCAAATACGAACGACCGTGTTTGACCATATTTCCAAACACCGAGAGGAGAGTTGAACGTACGAGGCGTAACGGAGTATTTCTGACGAACTTCGAGGTGTTGGGAAAAGTGGTCAAACACTGTCTTGAGTGTTTGATATATCTTCTCAATCGAAACTAAAACTAAGGAGAAAATGAAGAAATAAAATCGTAGAAATCTATGCTAATTGGATCAGATTTCCAAACACTGTCACAGTCATGATTTTCTCAGTTGATTAAACTTGGTGAATTATTAATGAGTTTGAGAAGCGTTATACCTCGTTCGTTCCGATATCACCAAGTGAAACAACTTTGTAGCGTTCAAGTCAAAGAAACTGTTGGAAAAAGAATTTAAAATGCCTCAAAGAGAAGGTAAGCAGTTCATAACGAATAACATCGATTCGCATTCCATCGAATGAGACTCTCAAACTTTGGGGTGCTGAGACTGCGCAGTACGGACTGGAGATCATTTTTAAGTCTTCAGTGGACTGTTTTAAAAGGTAACGACCGCAAATCATGCCGAATTCTCTTCTGCAAGTGTTACTCAGGGGCATTAGAGAAAACAAACCTGTTCATCTTGGCATTTCGTTGTTCAATTATTATCGTATTTTGTATCTCACGTACCTCAAAACCAACATTATCGTTCCATTGCCTAGATGCACCCAAGCCTTCTTGTTAACAGCTACCAGCTGATGGATTTTCGTGTCGATTGAATTTATAATGAATGTGTCCGGGAGCCAGAGCTTGTTTGTTGCGTCTCCGCTAAGTATTATAGTTTTGTTAAGACCGAATCCTAGTCGAGGATCTCGCCAGAACTGCCCCATGTATAAGTCAACTGAAAATTCCTAGTGAGAGATTAAACGGTATGACTTTTAAGAATGGATCGAGAAGTGGTCAGTAGCTTAAGTGAGTGAATCTATCAAAAGCTTTGGCTTCTGTCCATGGCAATGTTTTTTAAGACATTGAATTAATATTCTAGTTGCATTTAGTCTGGAAGTCAAATTAGAATCCAAACAACACTAGTTCATGGGCAGTTAACCTTGTTAAGACGGCAAATGAGATTACGATACAAAGGGAATCGAATCCACATAATCATGCTTCGAAGCAATTTAAAAAAAAAAAAATCACAGTTAATGCGTCATTCATACTTTCGACTTGATCATACATCCCTTGATAATGTAAGAACTTTTTAAGAGAAGTGTTGATATATCGAGTCAGTTACATTCAAAGCAAAGTAAAATAAACAATAATATCTCAAGCATGTTAAGGCAGCCAATGGCTCCTCCACTGGCAATTTTAGGATTTTAAGAAATATTTAAACGTTGTTTTGCTCTAACAACCACCAAAACGTCAGGAAAAATGCATTTTAGGGTGCTTAAATCTGTGAAAGTTTAACTATTATTGGTCACGTGATTTTTGGGCAAGATTTGCAAACTCAAACTAAAAGCAAACCATCGAATCTTGCTTGACTTACCGCGTAGCAACTCCTTCTGTCCTGTATGGAATGACATCTATTATTATTAAGAAGCTTTTAAGTAATAAGGCATGTCACGTGACCTATTTTGTATAATATCCTTTTAAATCAAGATCGAGATAATATCCTTTTAAATCAAGATCGTAGTAGGTACTTGATAAGTACCTCGGCGTGCATCTGGACCCGACACTTAATTTTGACACTCATTTTCAAAAAATTTACAAGAAGGCAGCAGGAAGAGTGAACCTCTTACGGCGCATCCGTTCCAGTATTGATACTTTTACTGCCCAACGAATTTACCAATCGATGATTATGCCGATATTTACGTATTGCGGCTATACTAGTCTTGGATGGTCAGAGTCCCGCAAACGCATGATCCACCCCATTGAGACCCGAAGCCTCGAAATCATTTCCCCAAAATGCAGTTCGCAGAACTGTGATCTTCGATTTTTAACTGTTGATAACTTTTTACAAAACTTTTTTTTTCCCAAAATGCAGTTCGCAGAACTGTGATCTTCGATTTTTAACTGTTGATAACTTTTTACAAAAAAGAGCGTGCTGCTTTGTATTTGACTGCCTTAATGGAACTGCATGCTTTCCATATAAAGACTATTTTCACCGATTACATCATAATGCTCGCAACAATGGGAAAACTACAAAACTACCAACTGTCAGACTGGATTTTTAGGTGCCTCGATTTTTAATTTGTTGCCTTTAAGTTTAAGAAACATTAATTCTAGAGTTTTATTTAGGAAAGCCTTAGACGATTGTTACTTGTAATTTCTATTGTATTTTTAACGGTTTTTAATATGTATCTTATTTTATATATCTTAATAATTCTTGTTTATTAGTTTTTAATTGTCAGCAGGACCCCGTTGATAACAGTACTTTGTACTGAAGGGTTATCCTGAGGAAATATTCGATTATTATTATTATTATTATTATTATTAGTCAACCATACGGAGCACATTTATAAAAAGGCTTGTCCTATAATGACAGACACACTGCGTTTGATATTCATAATTCATCATCTTGACAGCCCATTTTTAACATTCTTTTTGTTGGGACAAAAAGAAAAACAGATAACAGGTCATATGACCAAAATTATTTTACACCGTAAGCCATAAATCAGTTAAGGTTAACAGGGCTTATGAAGCTGCAAAGTTTGAAAGTTCTTTTGCTACATTTTCGCACAGCTATGAGCGCTTTGAGAATTTATGCAAATTAGGTCTTGAGCCATACCTTAACATGCTTTAGAATAACGTAAATAAGTGGAAAAACATCAAAGAAGCAATGACTAACATAAAAAAAAAAACCGACAAATAAATAAATAGATAGAAGAGTTTCACCGTGAACGTTAATTCTCTAGGCTTATTTTTCCGAAGATGTAGCTTGTCTAAAGCCTATGGGTCGATCCTTACCATATTGGTTTCACTTAGTTCTCCAAAGGACAGGATAAGTAAATCCATTTGGACATCTAGTGTCTTAACTACAATAAAACATCGTAAGTTGCGTTATTAGGATATCGTCGTCTCAAGTCGGGCGGGTTTCATTGAATATAATATTATTTACTTTCCACCTTCAGTTTTCATTCCCATCTTTAGTAGGCATTTTTCCTTTTTCATGTCCTTTTATTATGTTGTTGTGCCCTGGTGAAAGGACAAAATGCCTTCTTCCCTGTTTTAGCTAGTTCTTACCACACACAATTTCGTTATAAATTGTCAGAAATATTGTACAATTACGGAGGTTTCAAGCTCAGTGTTGAAGATTTATGACCTACCGTCATAAAAGGGTCTAATTCGCTTATCATAGGTTTTGAACACGGCATCTAACAGGCGTGACATGTCTTTCCCCGCCAAAGTCTCGTTCATGTAATTGTTTTTAAGAACTGGCAAATCGGATTCTTTATTAGACGACGTCTTCACATCCCTGGAAAGAAGCAAGAAAAAGAAAACATGGATCGTCTGATTATCGGTACAAGTGACGTAAACTCTGACCTGCTAACAATTGGAATGCTTCAGGTAATGACTCAGAATGACGGATCGGATCATCTCAGGAAAACGCCTCAACTCAAGACGCAAGACAGTTGCTAGGAGAATTGCGGACTATCTGGGAGACGTGTACACTTCAGTTATTTCTCCCCAAGACCGTGTTTAAATCAGCTTGTCTAATCGGAGTTTTTTGGGGTGGAAACCCTTGCACATTGGTAAAAGGAAAGAGAGAAAAAAATAGTCGCCTTTGGAACCTCGAGCCGGGTTCCTTTGGTTGCTGTTTGAAAGTTAATCTTTCGCACACTTCCATTATTGTCTACTCTTGAGTTTCCCAGGAGTGAAGACAAACTCAGTGGATTAACTCTGATAATATAATTTCCTCGGTTCTCAACATATCTTAAGCTGTTAGGGTCACATGCAAAGCACAAACCTGCCAGCAATGGAGGGGCGAGATTTATAATTGTGAACATGTTATAGAGAAATTAAAAATACAAATCAAAGGAACAAATGAGCATATACATACGAGATTTCCACAGCATCTGCCACAGACACGTTCCCAAGAATCATTCGAGTCAGGTTAGAGTGGGGGTGGATACTTCGAACAGTTTTCCTACAAGAAGGATTGTATTCAACATTATTTGCCGACGTACCGATGCAAGATGGTTAGGAGATAATTAATCTTTATTTTCTTTTTGTTGCTGTTGCTGTGGTTGTTAAGGTTGTGGTGGTGGTTGTTTGGACTCCATATTTATTCTTCGAGCACATGTTTCTACAACCCCTACAGGGGGGTACAACAATTCGTGCAACGTCACATCCGGGTTACAAAACAATACAAAACCACTTATCTAGAATGTTCGGCTTGTCACGCAATGTCACGTCCGATCTCTAGTACAAAACGGCTAGTCTAGAAAGTCCAGCTTTCAACAGTGGTGGTGATATGTTGTTGCACTCACACTTTTGAGAACAATTATCACTGTCATATTGTCATTATATTCTACATCTTCATACTTTAATTTGGAACACGACCTTTCCATTGTTAATACAGCAAAGGCACGACTTAACTGTAAGGTTTCATTTAATTGGCTGATGGTTTGTTACACAGAATTGTTTTAGCAAACTGTAGTAATGGAACGCCTTCGCAAATTCTAGTTACTCATGAAGAGACTGGAGTGTGCTTATATGTATATGGTTGCCGGATTTGATTTGGAGCAAGTTATTATAGCTCTCAGGTTTTCTTCATTGAGTTAAATTTAAAGCTACACTTACAAATTGTATACAAATTGCAACCTGGAATGTGTATTAGGTGTTAGGTTTGAAATGAAAAATTCGTCTTACCTGTGCATAAAATGTACATCATGTTTGGCGGGTTTGGTTTCGTTCTTCTTCTTGGTATCCGTTAAGGACCTGAAGAAATTTTAAGACGTGTTATACTGACTACGAGCAGTTGGCAGAACACGCCATCTGCTGTCAATCTATCTTGCCTCCCAAATTCCTAAGAGGACCCATTTTGTTTGGTCCATTGCAATAATTAGTAGTATTCTTGTTCAAAACTGGATCATCGCATGCATAATACAATTCAAGAGTTTTCATTGGCTTAAGCATCATGATACATGAGCAATTATACCATGTTCTACAGATATGGTAAGCGTGCGCGTTTTTATTTTTATTCCACTGGGGCTTATGGTCATCTCGGCGTCTTGCTGACTATCTGTCATCTCATATCCAACACGCGCTCGTGGAATAATTGTTAAACACCCTAGCTTTTGTATAACACCGATTAAGTGGTACGTTTGGTTGAAAATGACAGTGAATCTTACAAAAAAAAAATCATTTGTGATTTTGTATTTTCTTGTCAGGTGGCTGTATCGGCTGAAGGCGTTACTGTCACGATGCTGTCAGTCATTTACAACAAACAAAGGCTTTCAGAAGTGCACGAGTGAAAGAATAAAAATGCAAAGTCGTCAAGGTTTTGTTCAACTTGAAATAGTTTTCACTTGTTCACAGTACGACAACATCTTGCCTAAATCAACACACGGCCGTATTTCTGCGAAGAATATTGCTTAATTGGAGAATAAACAAGCACACCGATGGAAAATTACTCGAGCATGTTACAAAGATAGAACCGTTTTAGAATGAAAATATTTTTCCCATCAACAATGCTATTTTCTCTCTAACATTATCCTGAAAAATAGATGCTTAAAAGTGGCACTCGATGAAATCATAGTATTTACCTGCTCTCTGAAATAGATTTCCACAAGTGGATCTGGCAAAGAATTAAGACAATGATTTGCTGACTGTACCACATCTGGGAAGGTTGTAAATTAATTCTAAGGCTATAGCCGGTGCAGCTAAATTGGATACAAAAGAAATAAACACCGTTAATGAGGCTATAAAGATCCCTTTTTACACTTCGTAACTTTCGAGACCCAAAAATGATCTTAATCTACTTTCTCCTCACAATTTCAATGCACAGTGCAGCACAGAAGTGAAAAGAGTTGAGGATTTTATCACTAGAGACAAATGGTGTTGATCGGTGAATCATTTCTGGTATTAATTATGAATAAATATATGCTAAATTTAAACAGGGCCCCAATGGATACCAGCCTTTAAGCTGAACGGGCCACCCTGTTAAAATAAAGTTTACTTTACTTTAGAGAAGAGTGGTTAAATGTTGATGGTGCAGTGATAACCAAAATAACTTGAAAGCTAGGTTGGACCCACGTCTTGTAAAGCTGTCAGTTCTGCATCATCATACGTCTTGTAAAGTTTAAAAGCCTGACTAGACCCAAAGGCACCACGGCCAAATTACGCCCTCTCTTAGAGCTATCTTCTTTTCGAAACACAGATTAGCTTTGTTTTAATGTGTGACTGGTAATTTGTTTTGCACAACTGAGACCAAAAACATAGGGCTATCTTTAAAACGAGGAACGGGGAACGGAGAATGGGAACGGGGAACGGGGAACGGGGAACGGAGAACGGGGAACGGGGAACGGGGAACGGGGAACGGGGAACGGGGAACGGGGAACGGG